TGTTAAATAATAACGTAATAGTATTAATGTAACAAAAAATATAAATAAAAGTGCGCAAATAATATATAATAGAATTGCTTACCTAAATTTAAAAAATTAAAGTCTTTAAGATCTTTACTCACAATCAGTTTATAATTGTTTTCTTTTTAAAGAATTAACGAATTCTGGAATATAGTCAATAATTAAGAGATCCAGGCATATTTTGGTTTCACAGATTTTTAAAACTCGAGAACACCGAGGAGAGTTCTTGTAAATTTTAAAACTAAAATTTGTAAACTCGGAATTTCTAAATATTTTATTAATATTTAAAAAATAATTTTTTCCGTTTGTCTGTCTCTCTTTCCTTTTTTGTTTCTCTCAAAAGGATAACAGTGATGACGCAAACGCAACAAGTAAACATTACTTACAGAAAATTCAATAAAATTTACTGCTTTATTAGACGACAGGAAATAATTTATTAATATTGAATATAAATCTTACAATATACCTTTTTCAAAATATATGTAAGCAAAATGATTATATGACACATGAATTATATAACTGTCGATTTCTAAAGAGAATTTGACGGCACCATTGTTCGAATAATACATTTTCTCTTGTGGTTGAGTAAAATGCGAGAGAGAGCTCGAGAGAGTTTATCAAGGTTCCCTGAAATTAGACCGGAGGAGGGAAACAGACGAGAGACAGAGCGAAACAGAGTAATCCTCGCGGCCAAGAGTCACGGACCCAAGGGTGGACGAGGGTGGCTGCGCCCTGCATACGCGTAACAATAGTTTAATATTCATATTGTCACGTTCGAGTCAAAGGAGCGGCGGTGCGCGGGCACCGCGTCCTAATTCATCGGACAAAAATTTGTGCTCCCTTTCAGGGGGTGTATTCGCGTCGCTCGCTGATGAATTCACTCGAAGTCATTGACGCGACAACATCGCTGCATCACCACTCGCAACTCGGACTCGTAATTAAACTTAGCCCTCTACGGTGCGTCTCAATGTGTTTTCTGACTGATTCAAAGCTGATTCGCCGTCGATGAAAATGTTGAGGCATCAATTGGCGCGAGGGGCGATAACGGGATTGGTAATTTAAATGGTTCCGACGAAGCCGTTTTTTGATTAAATCTGCCAAAGCCGCGACCTGCATAGAAAAAAAGAAGTGCAGTCAAATCAATATTGATATACTTGTATATACGAATATACGCAAGAATGTAGATAAAACCTTGAAATAAGATTATATCACGTTAAATGAAGAAAACGTGCTTGAATGCAGTCATGTATATAGTTAAACAAAGTTTCATATAGTTCAACCAAGAAAAAAAAATTAAAATAAAAAGTTGAAATTCTTGTAAGAAGATCATATCTATATTCTTGCGTATTTGACACTTTTTTTCTGTGTGATAACGAAAAAAATTTCGTTAATTCTTAACTCGGCTATACCTAAAAATACCTAAAAATTGCCTTTTAATTTTTTTATTTCTTTTTATATTTCACGCGATGTATCCATTTTTCAAAAATTATTATTAATCAGAATGTGAAAATATATAAGTAATAAAATAACAATTATCACGACTCGTTTTACAAAATTTTTCTATGAAAGAACATAGATTTGTATAATAATAAATTTTCCACGTAAAAGATTCTTCGCGAGTAAACGAAAATTTATCTTGCGGAACTATACAATATTATAAACGTATAACACATACATTTCTATGGTTTTTTTTCTGTTATCCTCGTCAGTGTCGCTGTATCGAAAAAGGGCCTTAGGGATGTTAATTCGCGAAAACGCGGGAAACGAGAGATATCAGAAAAGAGGCTCCTATTAATAACTTGTCAAGTTTTCCTCGATAAAACTTCCGTCGAGGGAGAAAAGGGCGACACGTCGTCGAGACATCCGACGAACCACGAGCGAGTTCACAAAGACACCGCTTTAACTTCGCAATTTTAGAAAAGGGGAAAGCCTTGAAGTAGCAAGGCTATCCTGACGACTGAACAGTATTCGGATTTCGATATTGCCCGTCTTGTAAAATCTAATGGGGAATTGCTTTACAATTTTGCAAAAGATATTAATCATTATTAGCGCATATCGTATACAGTTTTCTTATATTGGGTTGGCAAATAAGTTCGTTCGGTTTTTTCCATTCAAAACCAGTCAAAAAACCGAACGAACTTATTTGCCAACCCAATACTTCTATCACAAACCCTCAAAATAAAAAAATACTCAATTTCTATGTGGCAACTTCTGCTGTGATATCCTTCTTTACAATAAGATTATCTTCAAAATATTTAAATTTAATGTGAATCATTATCGTCATTTTTACATCAAATTTACCCTTGATTTCTTATGTGATTTAATGGCTGTCCTTTTATTCTCTTATTCAATAGCGTCTTCTTTATTTAAATCACGTGATCGTGTGACAATTTCAATGTTTTCTTTCAAGTCAATTTAAGTAACTGAAATTTAAAGTGATATAAATAAACCAAATATAAGTTTAATTGCTTTCATCTTACTTAATTCTGTCGCAAATTCCAAGGCTCTTTAGCGAGCCGATTTACATCAGTTTATCATCCGAAGGTTGCGACCGGCGCATCGCGGCCTGTCCGCTATTTATTGCATCTCTCCCTCTCCTTCATCGGCGCCGCGCACCTCGCCGGGGGGTGAAATCGCAACGAGAGGCGGCCCTTCTAAGGACATCCACGATTGGGCGCCGAAGGGATGTGCCGGCCTCTCGGTAATAATCCTAGCGGTGTTCTTGGTCGCTTCATCGTTCGCATTTAATGAGGGATGGAACGAGCGAAAAGAAGAGGGTGGCGCGGCGGTGGTCCGGACGTATCACAAAGACGGTTTATTTATTTAATCAAGAAACGCGAATAAAATACATAGTAAAGCAAAAGGCGAGAGATACGAGGGCACATTTTTGTAATAATGACAATTATTAAAACTATTAATTATTTTCGTAAATATATGTACCTATATATTATAATAATAAAATTATATATTTTACATGTTATCATACATCCAAAACGCACGCTGCCCAATTATTTTTAAATTAATCAACATAAAATAACGACGTTGATTAATCGATTATTCGCTTAAAATTTCGTTTCTGTTTTTATTGCGGACGTCTTACTGTTGAACGTATGTAAATACTCAGCGTCTACCGTCAAAGGGTTAATATGCCGAAAGTACGACGTGTGCATGTACGCGGAGCGGAAGGTATCGATACTCCGATAGCAGCCACCCCCCGCGGCGCCGAACACCTGTGTCCTGCCCTTGCGCCGCAATGTTATCCTCGACGACGAATCTTCGCGTCGTCATTTCGTTACCTTCAAAATATTAATCTTGGTCGCTGGCGAACACACGTGCGCGCCTCCAATCTGTACGACGACGACGGCGGCGGCGGCGGCGGCGGCGGTGGTGGCGACCACGACGACAACGACGACGACGTCGGGGAAGGGGGGGAGGGAAGAGGCACGAAACGAACATTGTGCGCACGCCATAACAGCGTAGCAATAACAGCGTTCCATTATATGTAGCTACACCGCGAGCGGCGAGATTGCAAAACATGCCTAGATTAATGTTTTCTCATCCCGCGGCTTTGTTGTGCAACGCGGGGGCGAAAAGAGGTGGGGGGCGGGGGCGAGGGAGAGGCAGAGGAGTCTGGAGCGGGGGAGGGTGCGGACGGATAGTGGCGGCGCACCCTCTCCTGCCTGCCTGCCTCTCGGAGCCGCGGTTCTCTACTTCTCTCTCCTGCCGTCCCCTCGCTCCGCCCCGCCAACCACCCCCTCCTCACCCCGTTCTATATACAATCGCGTCATGCGACAATGAACAGTACGAATTACGTTGCATTCTCTTTTGCGGCTCTCTTCGATCGGCCCTCCGCGCGCGCAGTTCCGAGCGCGCGTTATTATTCCGCGAGGAAGAGAGTTACCAGCGTGAAATAACGGCGGCAGATCCCGAGTAATGAGCAAATTAGAAGGAATGTCGAAACAAATTATGACATATATTTTATGTATATACAATATACATATGTTACATACACATGTATGTATAATATACAATGCTATGTATGTATATGTACTATATGTAGGGGGGTAAAAGCCATAGTGGTGTAAGTCAAATTTTTTTAAATATTGACTCGTGTGCATAGATGCAATTATAGATTGTATAGATTGCATCTATGCACACAAGTCAATATCTTAAAAAATTTGACTTACATGCACCACTATGGCTTTTACCCCTCCATGTATAAATGCATTAATTAAATCTGTTAATAAGGGAAGATCCCCAACAGAAAAATTTGAAAAGGTATAAAATTTTGGCAATACATAGAAGATGTCCCGATATGTAACTGTTATGAACTATTTTTTACTGCTCAAATTTACTCTGAAAAATAAAATCAACTCCTGGAAGTTGGCCTATTGTTTTAGTTTTAATATGTCAAAGTTTCATAATTTTTTTAATTTACGAGTTGGGGTTCTGCCCTCGTAAATCATTAATGGATCAGGTCGCATATGCACAAATGTAAAATTTTCAAACTTAATTTTGAAAAATAATTCTCATCTTTTTTGACGGAATAGAACATTTTTCTCGAGAACAAAAAAATGACTCGAAAAAATGGTACAGTACTTTTTGATCGTTTCATGAAGAATCACTCTCTTATTGGTTGCAGTATAAATTACTTTCCCTTATATACACACGTATATATATGACCTGAAAAAAATCACCGTATATCCTTCTCTTTGTACTCTTTGTACTCGCTGTTGTTGGCGTTACATGAAAGAAAATATCAGGATGAAATTATTCATTAAGTTTAATTTGCTAGCACAGCTCATATTCCAATATCTTTGTGAATTTTCAACATATATATAAAATTATGATTATCTGACACGAAAAAATTACTAATTAGCAGTAATGAAAAGATATTTAATCAGCAAAATTAAATCACCTGTGTTCGACAGAGATAGAAAGAAAGAAATGGGAGATTAGAAGAAGAGGGAATTAAAATGTAGTGGATAATTTTTTTTATTAAAATTCCTCTTTTTACACTATATACGTGCATACCACACGTCTACGTCATCTAAGTCATGGAATTCTTAAATTCTTATAAATAGATCTGTTCAATTATATTAAATACTTTTTAATTATATTCTCGATGAACCAGTCAGCCGTAAATTGCAAGTGCTCACCAGGTAGTGAAAGATAATAGACCTTGCCGGCGTTTTCCATTGCGCGTAATCCGAGCCAGTCCTACGAATGACGAATCAATAATATATGCATTGAGCGACTATGTTTTTAAAACAATCGCACGAGTGTGTACCTGTTGGTACAGCTCACTTTGCTGCAACTTCTGCACCTCCTTGGCCTGGCCAGGCTTGTAGAATCCGAACCATTCTGTCTCCACTGGTTCGACCATTGTATCATTCTCGAATTTAACGAGAACTAAAGCTCGAAGCTTTTGAAGATTATTCTTATATTCCTGTTGCGACATAATCAATATAAATAACAAAAATATTAATTAATATTTTTATAATGTAATTTCTATTTTACTGTGCCTGTCTTATATTTTTATGATAATATCGTTAAAGTTCTGTATCGTGCGGTAAACATTATGTAAGATACGTCACAGTCATTTTAATCATGACGCAAGATGTGCCTCACTTACACATAACAAGTGATATAGAACATATTCATGATTTATATCAAATTTAAAATTCTAATACATGATTACACTCACCGTGTTGTTAACATTTTCATTATTGATCTCGGCAAGGAAAAGATTTTTCCTTTGATATTCATCCTCCTGCAAGGGATCGTGCCAGAAAGAAGCTTGTATCAACGAGTTTTGAACGTACCTAAGGAAAAGATTAAAACACTAGAGAGCGTTTCTGCTAAATGATGCTAAATAACTTCGAAGGTCACGTAAGCGAATACCATAAATATGCGCCGAGGTGAAGCATGCGACGCATGTAATTGCATAATCGAGATGTATCTGAGCACTTTGGTATACCGAAAACACCTTGATGCTGACCGCCTAAAGATATCAAATTCAACATTGGAGGATTGGGGCATCTCTGAGCTACTGCTCTCCTAAAATACAGAACGACGTTACACACCAAGGACTGATTAAAATTTTACATGGATACCGCAAGGGATTAAAGAATTAATAAACGAAACAATTTACAGGAATTGACCCCCTTGTGAGAAGCCAATGGCATTGTATCCATTTTGGAGATTTGTGTCTTGCGACAGTTGCTCGCACACGTGCTTTATTTGATCATTAATATTTCCGAAGTAGCTGTTCTCAACATCCTATAAGAAAAGACGTTACGTCTTGATTTTGCATTAAAACAAAACAGAATAATAGCGCAAAATTGTAAGCACAAAAATAATATATGATTATCAGACATAAAAAGGTTTATATACAGAAAAAAGAAATTAAAATAAACGAATCAAGTATAAATTCAGGAACACTTGGGCCAAAGGACAGGAGATAAAGATGTAAGATAAATTTCATACTTATATGGAACATTTTTCCAAATATATGTTTTCGAAATTATTGATAATCATGTCCAACCTCTATCTCGTTGTTCCCAATACGTATGGAATGGACATAAACCCCAGGGATTTCGGCTTCAAGGATCCGTTGTATTTTTCCAAGGCTGAAAGAGAAGCAGCAACTATCACCTGCAAAAGATATATTTATCTCTGCTTTTATCTCTGAATAAAACGGAAAGAAACGCTAAACAATAAAAAACTGGAAATATCAGAACACTCCAAGTCAAAAGAAAAAAACAAATTCAATATTTGAGTAGAATTAAGTGAGTGATATTTATTAATGGTATTTCCTAAAGAAATAAAAATCCAGAGACTGTGAATTTGAGACGTCTTGAATTATTCAAGATACTAGAAATAAACAACAGTGGATCTCTGTGAGGCAAAATTTAGAATCTTCGTTACGACTTTGTTATGACTTTAAACGTATATTATGCAAACTAACTGATATTATTCCACTTGCTAATTATAAGGAAAATTCTATCTCCATAATTCACTGTATTTTTAAACGATAAAGATATCACAACATTTATACACGCATAAATACCGATAAGTGCGTGATAAGTGTATCTAATCTCCATAACGAGCTTGTTTTAAGGCAATTACAGAAAGAAACGTTCTTTATTCACAAAATGAGATCAGATTTAATTTGATGATTGCGCGCAAAAGATATTGCAACTAGTTTGCTGGTAATTACCGCAGCGGAGATTACGGCAAATGTAATCCTGTGGAGGGGAGGGGAAAAAAAACATGTGCAGGAAAGCGCGGAAAGTGAGCGTTTAGGTTTAGAAAGTGAGGAAGTGGAGTATTTTGAACGGGCGGTCGGAGATCACCTACCCATTCCATGCCAGAGCACCACCGGCACCGGCGAACCGTCACCGGTTGTCACACCCCTTTCCTCCTCGCGTAAACAACGGCCGGCATTCGCGAAGAAAAGTATCACGATGACGAGAAGTAAGCAGGTACGACTTATCGTCGGCTCCACCGCGACGTGATCCATGTCGACCGTCGACCGCGCTTATGTTGAAGCAACTAACGCGAATCGACGCTTCGCAACGCTTTTTGCGACACCGTTAATCATCGCCGGTGGTCGGACGCAGCTGGGAGCTGGGCGCAGCTGAGCGCGGCAGCAGCTGAGAGTGACACTCGGAGCTCGGAGCATACACGTGAATGTGCGTTTTTATCGCGTGCGTTTGACCGACGACCGACGCGCCACGCATTGCCCGCATCGGCAAGTTTCTCGAGACGCTCGTTCAGTAATATAGATTTCTGCATTGCAAATTCGTCGTTTTCGTCCCGAATATACATATATATACATATAATATATTATTAATTTCATTATAGCGCTTTGGCGTCACTTCTCTATAAGAAAAATCTTATATTTTGCTCGATCTAACGTGATATTTAATTTGATATGCTAAAACGTACTTGTAATTTATTATAATAAAAAGAAAGATTTGAGTAAACCTTCGAAAATTAACATTTGTCAGTAAAAATAATTTTAAAAATAACTTTAAATGAATTTTTATCCGTGGAGAGGATTTTTGTCTATTTTAACTATATTACGACTATATCCATGATCTAAAAATTTCTCTTTCAAATTTCCAAATTTATTATAATTAAATTACCTACCTATATATTAAATTTTTCAAATTTATTATACATACGTATATTCGATGTTCAGCACAATATGTACACACAAATCAAATTAGCATATTGCAAAAATAAAACAATTTAAAAGAAACATATTGCTCTTAGAGAAAGGAGAGAAAAAGAATGTAAAAATAAAAATTTGAATAGTATATCCGCTGACGAGATATAAGCATAGAGTGCCACTCTCTTTTCTTTTAACAAAGCTCATATACGTTCATGAAGAAAATAAAAATAATTTTTCAGTTTTTATCTATTTTCAAGTTCAAGATTTCACTCGGAATTTTGTTTTTAAAATTCCATTAATTATATTACATACAAGACATATACATATATATTATTATAATACATCTTATTTTTCTGTATATGCGAACAGAAATTATACAAGAGAAAGAAAACCTGTATAAGCATATTTTATATACATATAATTCAATATAATTATACACGTTTAAAGGAAATTTTTTTACCTAGGATAAATAAAAAAAATAATGTATAAAGATATATGTATAAAAAAAGAGATATAATACGTAAAGATATATAAAGAAAAAAAATATATAAAGAAATATAATAATATACATATAAAGAAAAAATAATTTAAAAAAAGAGAGAAAATACCTTAATATTTGATGCTAGTCAATCGTGATGGAAATCACAATTACAGATTCACATTATAAATCGAGCGATCCTGAATTGTAACGCAATCCCAATAAGTACGTAGGCGATATACGGATGCAGGTTTACGGTCCGCCGTCGTGAAAGCGCATTACATCGCATCGCATCGTATCTCGTTGTTATTTCCGCGCATTAACGAATGCCATTGCCATTCGTTCCTCGCGGTTGGCGGAAGAAACGGATCCGGGCGGGTTGGCGTCTCCCCCGTCGGAGGGGAAGACGCCGCGGTGGTTGGGGCGGGTGCAGGAATGGCGAACCAGTGGCCGTTTTTGTTTAGCGAATCGCCGCGATATCCGGAGCACAATGCACGATATCCAAGCCGCTTGTTCCGGGGATACATTGTTTCCGTTCTTCGGCGTTCTGCCCGCGTATGGAAATGCAGTAATCACTTAAAGCGGATCTGTGCTGACGGCCATCGTCATCGGGCGGGAAAAGACCCGGGCTATTGTATACGCGATCTCGTGGTGGAGCTTTCGTGAGTCGCCACACGATTCTTCGTACTTCGTCACTCTGGGAAGAAATTGTTTAATAACTTTCGCTACACCAACAATTGAACTCCATTTGCTGGACTTCGTTAAATTTAAATCTAAGAACGATCGAGAGTTTTCAGATTATTGATTATTTATATGCTAATCCTTATTATCCAAGACAATCGTGTTCTGAGATTATTTAATGAAACTTTTGTGTATGATTTTAACATTTTTAACTCAAAACGGGTCCGTCTTAAATTCCGATTTAATAATTTCAAGCATAATTCGAAGATATTGATTAAAGTTTGATAATCCGAAGTAAAACAATCAAAAGTTATTTATATCGATGGAAGTTGATGGAGTTCAGCGATTTCCAAGACAATGATTTAAATCAATAATTAACGGTTGTAATGTCGATGGAAGTCGATGAAGTTTAGCGACATCCAAGAGTGATTTAAGTCAATAATAATTAACAGTTATTATCATAATAATCTTCTTGGTGTGATTCGATTAATCTCAATAATAATATATTCCTCATATCTAAGTATACTTAATTTGTATAAATTGTCTCTTAAATCTTTATTTTTGGACGATAAAAGTATATACAGTAAGGAAATACATAAAGGGCTAAGAAACAAAAGACGATTTTTAAAGACGGGTTTTCGCAGAAAACCGGGAATAGACGTTTTCGAAATCATAAGCACTAAGAGAGGAAAGAGATGCGGATAAGGGAAGCGGAAGGGTTGAGTTTGAGGAGGAAAAGGGGTTGGGGGGAGAGGCAGGGAGACGGAAGGAGGCAGAGATCGATCGAGGAGATGATGGAAAGGGAGATCGACATATTAAATAGGTGGGCAACGGCTGCAGCGAGTGCCGGCCAGTCCAATGAGTAACAAATTAACCGGAAATCTTCCTGAGAGGTGGACTCAGGGGTAAGATTCAGGATGGTTGCGGTTAAGAAATTCCTCGCGAAGGAAATTTACTATCCGTTTTCCCCTTTCGCGCAATATCCGCGGGAATATTACGCAAATCCGTCGAATTAAATTTAGGTACTCCAACCCTCTGTGGACAAATGAAGCTTTATATATTTTACATTATTTTAGATTTTTTTCCACTTGTGTGTTCGATGTAATCGCGAAATATGTTATACCAGGAGATTGGATATAAAGTTTTTCTACACTGTTAAATTCATAGTGTCAAATTATACTTAATTTCAGTCATATTTAACCATTCCTATATTATAAGTCGCCAAAGAATTAACGAAGAGGTAATATACATATAATTAGATATATTTTTATTCCTCTATAATCAGTTATTACACCAAAATCATCAGAGTTATTACATTTAAAAATAATATTACAAAATTTTAATGATTTAAGGATGTTCTATATAGGTACCGTCCCAACTAAAAGTATGCAGGAAATCTTAAAAAGTCTGATATTAATTCGAATCTCCAGGGATCCAAAGACAAAAAAATGTATATAAATATTTACGGAACATCTAATAGAATGTAAAAGACGTAGATTTAGTGACTGTAAATAACTGTTACTACTATTTTTTTCAAAAAAATTTTTCAAAAAAAATTTTAAATCGTTTCAAATTTTATTGCTATATTTTTGTTTGTTAATGATCTGCTTGTGTGTAAAATTATATTAGTAACATTTTTTAATGTTTACACTTTTCTCTGTAAAACCCTTTACTTTGCAGTAAAACGGATATTCTAGAATTGATAACTTTTTATCTAAATTGTGAATCGATTTGAAATTTAGCCCCGAACTTTGAAAGAGAATACACAATATGATATTAAATTTTTGTCACTTCGTTACATTTTAACTAACTCTTTAGAACACCCTTAAAACATTCAAATTTATTTTCTGGAAAACTTCGTTTTTGGAGTTATTTCATCGTTACAGCAAAGAAGCGATTATCACGCTTTTAAAAAGAAATAAAGCAAAATAAACTTTTGCGTGCAAAACGCAAAAGACGAAAAGAATATTCCGTTTCCGGCGATAACGGAAAGACGCTTTCCTTACTCGCGAAAGGATTAACGAAAGGATCGACGAAGAGGTTCCCGGTAATGGCCCGAAAATCGGCGCGGAAGAGTTCACCTCTTTACGTCCGCGGCCGGTGGCGAATACGCTGTGACGCGCGCTACCACCCCCTCCCTCTCGCCTTCCCGCATTCCTCTATCAGCTTCCCGCGCTACTTTCCACCCCTCGCGCCGCCGCCGCTACACCTCCTTCCGCGGCGTAATGAATCCAGTTTGTCCGACTCCACCGCCTTCTCCGGCTTCGCCGTTGGATTTTCCCGACCTAGCCATCCTAACCATCCTGACCGTCTGTCCCAACCACTCCATCCATCCATCCATCCATCCATCCATCCGTCCGTCCGTCCACACCGGTAACTGCGCTACGTGAATCACTGTGCTTTTCGGTGCCACCCCCGCGGCGGCGGCCAACCCGCGCAGTCATTTTGCATCTCTCCTCCTATCCCGTTCCCCCTGCCGCTCGTCCCCCTCCGCGACCGCGGAGCTACGGGCCGCGCGCGCCCGATGCCCGTAATTACATCGAGTTCCCTTGACGATGGGGGGAACGCGAGAGGGAAGGGGCCGGTGTGTAGAGGTAGAGGTTCTAATTAATCAGCTAGCCGCAACGCGCGCGAATCGTTCCCGGCACACGCTGCGGCACGCCTATAGGTTGACCGTCGACCAAAGCACCGTGGGCCCCTTTGCCCCCCCCCCGCGCGCGGGGGGTGGCTTTCCTCTCTCAACCCTCTCTCGGTTCGGCCGACGTTGTTAACTCTTAGACGCGTTCGCTCGCGTAGCATAATTTTGGTTACGTTTCGCGCGATTTGTATCGCGACGAAAAGATAAAAGCAAACTTGGATAAAATAAAAACGGGAGATGAGATTAGAGCGATGGTAAAATTAAGGTGCGGCAATTTAGAGGATACAAATAAATATTGGCTTGACGAGGAAGATACGAAGTGTACTTAGATTTTGCAAGTCAGGTAGGGACAATTTAGAGCATTATATAAGCGAGTGCAACATCACAAGTATGTGGTTTGAGAACTTAGGTAGGAATAACGGAGAACGATTAGAGAATATATGCGATGACAAATTTAGAATAGAAAAAGGAAAGGTGCTAAATAGATTATGGAAAAGGAGAGAGGAAAGCTATAAAAAAGATAATGGCTGTAAACAATAATGATAATGTAAATAATAATGTACTGCGGCTTGTTTGTAAAAAAGAATGATGTTTTGACGTGTGGATGGATGTGTGTGTTAAGTAGAATTGTAAACCAAGTCCTTTCTTGGCGTTTAGCTGAAATAAAAACATATATACATATACATACATATATATATATATATATATATATATATATATATATATAGGATATATTATTCTTGAATCCGTTCACTCGCAAACGAATGTACGTGTTGTAATAAATGCGACAAGGAAATACGACATAAAAAAAAAAATAATAGTCTCGGAAAGAGGTACTGTTCCAAAAAAAGCGCCAAAGGATTAAATGTGCTTGAAATCGCATTTAATTTAAAAAGCGACCCTGGAAGGGTCGCTTTTATGGCGAGCATAAAAAATGATTATTTATGTAGGAGTAAATTCTCCTAATTTTCACGATGTATCCGAGTCAATATTTTTAATTATATTATAGTATCTATAATAATTTGCATGTACTTTTCTCTGCATATGACTCTTATATTTTATCTGTCTTGATCTTAAATTCTTGATAGTTTCAGAAATTTAATACATTGCAATATAAACATGTTATTATTATTATACTTAATATCTTCTCGCGATAAAAAGGGGATATCATATTTCATCAGGCCGGTCTGAATTTGCAACCGAAACGTTGCAACGAAGGGTTAATCGGCTCACTGTTCGCCGAGGAACGGTGGAAAATTGACGTTCTTTGTTGCCGCTTTATTCCCCGGCGGCTTTTCAGCGGCGGATCTTCCTCGCCCCTTCAGGGAGCGAAAGAAAGAGAGAGAGAGAAAGGGAGAGAGGGGGAGGGGATTTTCGCAACATTGATTTCAGGCAATAATTACTCGTTGGAAACCACCGAGCTTAGAATACATCAGGATTGAAGGTTTCGCCTCGGCCGCAGCTGCAGTAGCGTCGTGCTAATGAATCTATTTTGCCCGTTCTCCATCCATCGGTCCTCCCTCGCTCTCTCTCTCTCCCTCCCACCTTCCTGCTTCCTTCGTCGTCCTTCCTGCAGTTATGTTATATATCGAGACCGAAATATCGACGCTCTATGTGTCGCAGCGCATCGCAGCCACAGCGACGTGTAAACAAATATCGTTGCTTTATCGGTAATGCGATATAATCACTGTGCGAAAATATATGATACGAGCAATGGAGCAATCGTAAACGCCGTTTGCGAAACACAGACAGAGTCGCAATTCGCAATCAGAGTTCCTATTAGAAAATCGCGGTATCGCAACTGATTGCAACCGTGTTATTTTACAACGCAATACGATAATTCGCAATCAATCTCACTACGATGACGTTAATAAAGAAAAAAGTCTATATATTATTACCTGTTCGCATATATCCTTATTTATATTTTTAATTACGTTTTTTCGATCTTATATACTTTTAATTATTTTTCCGTTGGTTTTTATTTCTTCGAGATTAAGTAATATTTAATATTTATTTATTATTTATATTTAACAAACTTTTTTAATTTAAAGTATTATTAATAAATATATAATAATAATATTATACATTTATTATTCGGTATATAAACTTTTTCGATGCCAATAATAATTTCTAATTGATCGACTGTCAATCAGCAAGCAATAATCTTGATATTTATTGCTTTTTGATTATCAACTAAGTAAAGTATCAACCGACTATCGGTAATCTCGGTGAATTGAGAATGCTGGATAATAAAAGTGTTGCTTTATCCACGGAGTAAGATTGGCGGGTTTGGTATCAATCCCAATTTGAGCGTCCCCGAGTGTTTGTATTCATCTAACTGTCATAACCGTGTCACGTACTTTTTATTCGACATGGATAGTGATTACTACTCCACCGTATATACATGGTGAGTACGTAAACAGTCTACATAACATTGTATTCAATTTTGCCAGTAAAATAAAAAAATTTTCGTCGAGGTTATATCTACGCCCAGTCTTCAAAATAATGTTTACATCAAGTGCTGTTTACAATTTACAATTATGAATCAGTCTGTGTATCTAACTCGCAACATAAGTAATTCTATATTTTTTTGTTCGTTTTGATTGCACCAATAAGGCTGTATCCACTGTATCTTCACAGGTTTGAGAAGTGTGGGATTGTATCTGATATCAGGACGCACCTGCGGCAGAACCTGGTGAACGCTTTGAAGCGTAAGGACCTGAGGCTGTGCAAGAGCAGAGAGGCGAAGTCGGCGAAACAGTACGTTTACGATATGTTAATAGCCGAGTATCTGTTTGGTCACAATTACTCCTTCACCCTGTCGATATTCGCTAGCGAAGTTCCGCTTTTAGTAAACTTTTGCAACAGCGCGCCCCAGCGCACCGCCGACGACGGTGACAGGGGCGGTGGTAGCGGGCACAATAAGTTGCAAAGCGATTATATAACGCACACGCTGGAAACCCTGGGCATTGATCCCAACAGGCCCGAGGGCCAGTACATTATATCGAATTACATGAACAGCGAAGCACCGCTGTTGCTGTCCATTCTGAGCTCGATAGCCTCGCTCGTTGTCAACGCTCAATCGTCAACCAGAAGGTCCACGTGCGACAGAGAGACGCAAGCTGACTTAGCTTTGGAAGCGAATCTTGCAGACGCGACGAAAATGCGGGCAATAAGGAAGAAAATTATGCAACAGAAACAACTATACGACGACGAGTTGAAGACTAAGGAAAGTAAATTGAAGCAGCAAGCCACAGTTATAAAATATCAACTGAATTCATTAAATGCAAAAGTGGAAGAAGCTCAGGTAATGCCTTCAATCATATACATATTTGATACAAGATATTCCATGAAATATTATCACATTCTTTGGTAATGGCTCAATTAATAAGCAGTTTTCTGTAATAAACAGAAGATTTTCTCATTGTATACATCATAATTTCCATTTAGGAAAAGATCTAGTCTGATCGGAAACAATTTAAATATATTATTTTATCTCTAATATTATTTTCTTTTATGTATTTAGAATGTAATGCAATCTTTGACCCTGAAAGAAAAACAACTAAAAGAAAAGAAAGAGAGCAATGCGCAGTGTATCTTGCAGAAGGAAATGGAGCTATCTATGAAACAAAATTTCTTAACTCAAGAAGCTAACAGGTACTTGACGAAAACGAGAAAATAGTTCATCTCCGTTTAATTCGTTCTATTTTTCTAATCTTGATCTGTTCATATTTGTTCATTATTGTTTGAAATAAATTTCTACAGATTGCAGAGAGAACGAGACAGTTACAGAAAGTTTGAGGGTGGTTTGAAGAAACTGCAACGAGAGCTCGTCAAAATGCAGAAGGAAGTGTCGCAAGGTACGGCGGACCAGTGCGCTCAGAACAATCTCCGGGACATTCACGTGCAAACTGACACGGAGAACCGCACGATAATGGACGAATGCAGAACTCTACAAAGGCAGAAGCTGGAGCTGACGAATCTCGTGGAAGAGCAACGATCGAAGATAGAACAGATTACGCAGCGCAGCGCCCAATTGTCACGCCAATTAGAGGAGGTGCGTTTATTTCAACCGATCGAGATGCCGATTTCTGTGGCTCGAATTGTCAGCGCGAACGCGATCGTCAGCGAGAGCAGTTCCACGGAGGATATTCTTCAGGATGCCAAAATGCGGCTAAAGCGCCTGGAGGAAGAGAGCTCCAAGGCCGATCAGTATTTCTGTAATTTCGTCAGCACTTCGTCGTAGCGAATAAGACATTCCAAAATATTGTTTATTAATTATTTATTATCATTACTGCACGCACAATTATCAACCGTGCACATTACACATCACGCATATCACTTGTGAGGGTTTTGATTTTCTTCATCTTCGGAAGAAAAAAAAGACTAAATCGAAACATGTATCAAAAAGTATCGGACATTTAGATAATTTATTTTATAAAATTGGATGTGTTAAAACATATAATATACAAATTACCGACTATCTTTTTGCTTTATTTTGAATTCTACGTTTATTACATGCAACATCAAACATTAGCATAGAAAATGTTAAGTCGAGCTCCTTTCTGTTGTTGTACATCATCTCCGTTTCGGGTCTGAACTCCTCCTAGTGCACTTGAATTAAGGATCATACCGAGCACTTGTTTTTTCGTGCATAGGATAAATCATACAGTTATTGAGCAGTTAAGGATTCTTTCTCAAAAAAAAAAAGAAAACAATGGAAATTATAGTTACAAAAAAAGATAGAATATATTTTGTCTTAAAAAGTTTGAAACGTATGTATTACAAATTTCATAAACAGAGTAAATAAACACTCGAACAATTACATTTAACTAATGTAATTAAGTGTTAAATTATTTCACTTCTACTCAACAAAAATGCAGTTAATAAAACAATGTTTACTTTTACTTATAAACGGTTAATAAATGTTAGTAAGATTTCTTAATTAAAATGAGAAAATGTTATATAAAAAATTAACTCGCAATAATTGTACGATTCATTCTATGTACATAGTACATAATCTACTTTAACACTTAATTAGTTACAAAGTTTAACATACTACTGTATCACAAGTATGTATCACAAATGTTATATGACATTATTGTAATAAAATCAACTAGCTGTAAAAAGAAGCAAGAATAATATTTGTGTTCAGCTGTTGAATATATTAAATGCATAGAAAAGGATATTGTTTATCACGGCTTTCGCGGCCTTCACGTTCATGAGGACGATCCTTTGCGTACGGAGATTTTTCCTGAAAATACATTCTTGAATAAGTCTTCCGAATGCCATGATTTCTTGTGACTGATATTGGGGGAGGGGGGTAATTGACATCTATACTTTCTTGTTTTTGCTATAGCCGCCCATTTCGTCCTTTTAATGTACTCGAAGTAGACATCTTTATCAACTATGAGGTAATAGAAAATTGTTTTTAAAAAAATGATAACTTGATTTTTTTTCATGAAACAAGTCAGCTAGTTAATAAGAACTACAAAAATAATTGCAGCAGTTTCTATGTTACAAAACTTACGATATACGATGTGTAATAAATCTCATCAAAGTACGCGTAAAAAAAAAGAAAATATACATATTCATAGAACATGGAGCTACAAATGTATTGTATACATTTTTCTATATATTCTATATATTATAACTTTTGCAAGTGCATTAGTATCTTTTTGTCCAACATTTTCATATCGTTATTGATTTGATTATCCTGTATATTTCTTATAGCTAAGGGTTTCTTCTACTCTATGTACTTTATGCATCCCAAAATGTAAGTAAATGTGTGAATGTTAAAGCATAATATAATAATAAAATGATAAAAAAATTAATGTATCCTAAAGTAAGAAAATTAAAGATCAAGATTAAATTTAATTGGATTATTCTAGATATTATTCTGGTCTAGTATATATTATAACAAGATTCCAACAATTATAAAAAAGTAAACACAGAAAAAAAATAGAAATAATTATTCATAAAATATAAATGAAAATTAGCAGAACTAAAATCAAAGTTTATAACTAAATTCAAGAGAAAATAAATAGTAGGCTACGTTTTGAATAGAAGTTTAACTGTTTAATAACATTACAAAAATGCTAATTAATATTACTGACCTTACTGTAATGATGCTTTTCTCTATGTTCAGGAATGTCACCGTTCTGATGCGTGCCTTTGGCTATAACATATATATGTAATGCGATATATATTTTAATATATAATAAATATTTATTGATGAGTCTATATTTTTTGTAATAATAGCGGAAATATAATTACACAAACCTCTTTCGTCATCTTTTCTTCGTTTTTGTTCAGTGGTTGCTATGGATTCCTCTGCACGATCCTGTGTTAATTGGTTATTTAATAAATAGTATATGCATTCTGAATCGTGTGGTATGTGTAATGATTGTATGCAATAATTAAATGATAAACACATAATTACCCTTTTCCGTCCCTGTTTCTTTTCCCTACGCAGTTCTTTCTGTTCGTCACGTGCTTTCCCTTTACTGGAACGTTCTTTCTTATCAAGAACAGCCTCTGCGCGTCTTCCTTCCTGCTGAATTCACAAAAATATTTATGCCAAGAAAAAACGTGGAAATATATAACAATTAAAACATAGATATAACGTAGAATGTATCGTCACCTTTGGGACGCTCTCTACTTTTCTTCTTTTTACATCTGAAACTGAGTACAAATTTTATAATATTAAAATATACAGAGAGCAATACATTTTTTTTATATTTATAATTACACGATTTTAATGTTTGATCATTAAGTCATAGTACAAACCTCTCTCGGGGCCTTCTTGTACAGGACCCGAACTAGCACTACTATTTGACACGCTGGAAAGATCTCGGTCTAAATTGTCGACACCACCGCTATAATAGTGTTCTTCCTGAAAATATAAAATTTGCATTTTTATATATCATTGATTATACCAAAATTGAAAGAAAATCTTGAATATCAATTTCGAGATGATAAGTTATCATATAATAATAATATATACAAATTACGATATTTCGTTTACAAAAGCATGGAACAAAGCTTTTTAACATTAACTTTATAAGAAAACATTTACGACTATACGCTTACTAAAATTCTTTTACTCAAATTGCATTTTCTATTAAATTCCATCTTAACTTTCTCTTTTCCTTTCGGAACATTCCGTGTAAAAATATTTTAACATAATAATTACCTTATAATATTTGCGATCCTTCTTATCTAATCCCTCATCGTCTTTCACTTCTTCTTTTTTCACATATTTCTCTTTTGCTTCCGAAACATCCTTACTGTCTTCTTTCTTTCTGAACTTCTCGGAGTTTTCGCTATTCAAAGAATTGATATCGCTGTAAGATTTCCATACTTAACATATCAATTGTCAAATTATTCTCAGTCCATAGATGTTTTAAGACCCAAACTCTAAAAAACTGATCAATCACAGTCAAATTTTTTAGAAGAATAATCGACTGTGATTAGTGAGTTTCTTAGGGCTTAGGGCTTAAAATACCTATTGTGATTTGTGACTGAGACTTAAGGAAAACGTCATCAGGACTTAAACAGTCAGGACTGAATCTTGGTCGCCTAATAATATAATTCGAGTGAATTTTACGTACAATTTTTTACCTTAGCAAACCACGCGCCGTTACTTACAGACTTAAAACGCAGTCTCAATCAAAGCTGGATTAGTACAATTATATAATTAAATTGATAATCAATTTAATCACACTATAGCACACATCTTGTAGAAAATTAAAAATAAACGATATAAAAAATACGGAATACATCGGATATGTTACGAAAAATAACACTTCAGCCAGGATTCGAACCTGGATCTCTCTCATTCCGTGACGGGTCTCAATTTGACCACTGAGGCATACCGATTAATTCAATCAGCAGAATTGTTTAAGACAAAATTTTTAACTATATAATTCGTTATCCCTAATCTTTTTCTCATATGTGTTAAATAAAAAATAAATAAATAAAAATTAATTAAAAATAAAGTGGAAAAAGTATATAAATTCACACAGAAATATTATTAAGCTATAAAAGATCTCATATTCCTAAGACGGCATATATTTTATTTATTTATTTTTTATTTAACACATATGAGAAAAAGATTAGAGATAACGAATTATATAATTAAAAATTTTGTTTTAAACAAGTATGCTGATTGAATTATGCCTCAGTGGTCGAATTGAGACGCCAGTTACGGAATGAGAGAGATCCAGGTTCGAATCTTGGAGTGTTATATTTTTTGTAATATATCCGATATATTCCGTATTTCTCATATCGTTTATTTCTAATTTCATAAAAGATGTATTATAATGTAATTAAATTGATAATCAATTTAATTACATGATTGTGCTGTTCTAGCTTTGGTTGAGACTGCGTTTTAAGTCCGTAAGTAACGGCACGTGGTTTGCTAAGGCAAAGAATTTTACGTAAAATTTACTCCATTAATATTATTATTATTATTAAGCAATCAAGATCCGGTCTTGACCGTTTAACAGCGTTTTCGTTAGTTTGATTGCATATCATGTTGATCTTATTTATTTAGATTATTTGTCCCTTCCCCCCCCCCCCCCCCCCCATAGCTCCGACAGAAATTTTGAAATTTTATTATGTTTCCATTTATTATATCCGCATATCTTTTATTAAATTTTCGTATATAATTTTCTACATAAAATATCAAAGAATAAAAAAAATTCCAATGCAACTGTGTATATATTTCTAAATATTTCTATATTACTTACTGATGCGTTTGATTGGATGAACTTCGTTTTTCTCGTTGTTCCTTGTTTTCCTTTTCTGGCCGAGCGTCTCCGTTATTATTTTCTTTCACTGCTACTCCATTGCTAACTTTATCGCTCGTTTCATTATTCGTTGTGTCTTGTGTCTTAGCCTGTACAAATAAGTATAATAAAATGAATAACTTTCTCAAACACATTTGAGATATAATTTCTTTCTCTTTATGAATTTATATCAATTATATAAAAAAAATCTTTTTTTACCTTGTCGCCCACATGGTGAAAGTCTGATTCGCGTATCATATTGGGAGTTTTAGCTTTCAGTTGCCCACTATACGATGTGGCTAGAACGTGCAAATCCTGACGCTGGCCACGCTCTTCCTCCCTCACCTTCTCCACCTTTCGTTCGAGGATCTGAGAGAGTTTCGCCAAAACCGGGAAATGTGGCAATATCTTGATCAATATTATCAAAGAATTCCTTATTTGCACATAATCCTTAGAATCTAGACA